CCAACTTTTGGTTTGATGTTTCCTATTTGTAACCAACTTTGGGTCTGGCATTTCCTATTTGTACCCAACTTTGGGTTTGATGTTTCATTTTTGTAACCAACTTTGGGTCTGGCATTTCCTATTTGTTCCCAACTTTGGGTTTGATGTTTCCTGTGTGAACTCAACTTTGGTTTGGCGTTTCCTATTTGAACCAAACTTTGGTTTGTGTTTGCAGTTTGACTCAGCGTGTAAACATTCTGCGCTTGATCTGTGCCTTGGTTTCTGTTTTGGTCGGTTTTCATGGCAGTCTTACAGCACCATATACAGTCCTGGCATAATTATGCCAGATGTTGTGGTTGTTTTCTGGGTTTCAGAGTGAGTGTATATTTCTAGAAATTGTACCATGTTTATAGGAATGTTTTTAGAAATTAGGAAAAGAAGTAGTTTTGGAAAAACTGGATTTCTTTGTGGACATGGCCTTTGTCTTTCCAACCACAGGTACTTTGACTTTAGAGGTGCTGAGCAACACTGAATTGAATTGGGGATCACTGAAAGATGAGAACACAGAGATAAATATTGACTGAAAGTTTTGCAATAGACCGTAAGGTTCAGGTGTTCTGCAAAAAACAGCTGGTTTAAAAGTTGATTCTGATGACTTCAGCTTCTTATGATCATTAAGCAGCAGTGTCTTGTCTTTGGAAATCCACTCGTGGAGGCGTTGAAGAACATGGATCATCCATGAATGTGTAAGTACTTCAGCCCATTTCACGCTTTCCCTACCCTCGTCTTTTGTACATTTACACCGGGTGGTTGATGTTTTCACATACTTTTATGATCCTGATACCGATTCTGTCATCCTGAACATGGGAATTACAAAAAATAAAATAAAACTAGACTTCTATTCTATAGTTTGAGACATTTCTCTTCCCATTCAGTTACAGAGGACATGGAATTAGTTGGAGTGAGGACAAAGGATGTAGGACAGAGCGAGATGGAAGAGGATGACTGTGTGGACAACACTGAAGAGGGAGCAGAAAGAAGCTTCCTGTTCAAGGATTTTTTCCCCAGATAGGAAGGGGAACATCTTAGATTAGAAGTCCAGTGACAGTAGTCCCTCGCTACGTTGCGGTTCGACTTTCACGGACTCGCTCTTTCATGGTTATTCAATGATCGTCAACTTTAATATTACTCTTGTGGTTGGGACTGTACGAGATAAAAAGTGAACAAAAAAAAATACTTTGGACAGGCGCCATCATTTTGTAGTTTTCTTTCAATAAGCCTACACTGTAAGGCCATTAAAGACGACTACACTACCCAGAAGCCAACAGTGCTTCCAGCCGCTGCATTCTGCCAAAATGCAGGGAAAGTTTTGATCTGATCTGAACTTGACTAAAAAGTTCAACCCTAATTCATAGTGACTTGGGCACTTGGTGGATGCAGAGCCATACGGAATCGACCGAGAATTGGACCAGGACTACTTCCAGCCTCATCGGTCAATCTGAGTGCTGCTTGCCGGCTCATGAAGCCTCTCAAGCAGGGATGCATTGCTTGGAGGTCTGTTTGTTTCTCCAGAGCTCACCCGGACTTTTTTCATCCAGATCCCTCGGGATTATTTGGACTCTATCGGGACCATTGTGTGGTTTTGTGCTGGCTCTCCGAAGGTCCGGCTCTCTCTAAAAGCATCTGGTGCTCAATAGCTGCAGAGAGCCGATCAGAACCGGGCCAAGGCTGGTGAGTACCCATATAAATTTTTGTAGCAGCTACTGTGCAGTACATATATGTATGTTCAGTGTTGCCAGATGTACGATAATTATCGTATTTGTACAACAATTTTGCCCTCTGTACAATCAATAATTCCAAAAAAGACCAAATATACGATAATTTGACCATTCCGTGAATGTGTGGTTGTAATTGGTTGTCATCAGCCTCTCGCAACAGTCGGTCGGAGTTTTTTTTGCGAACCCTGAAGGCATCTGTGTCCGCAACCAGATGCACGATGGGCTGGAATTTCCTTTTCTAAATGTGACCTACGAGTGACGTGTATGCGTTTGCCTCAGAATAACGGCCATGATTGGCTGAATAGGCCGCTGCGCCCGCCCCATGAGTGAGGAAAAGAAAAAAAGAAGAAGCAGAGCCGGTCTGGAAGCGGACCCATCACTACTATAGTGCATCAATAGATTTGTTATTTTGGTTATAACGGGTGTACGATAATTTCCCTCAAAATACGATAATTTTATGTCTCTAGTACAATAATCCTACATTTCTCACCTGGCAACACTGCGTATGTTGTTAAAATTACATACAGTAGGTTTAAGAGTTTAGAACATTGCTAGAGTGTGGAAAGGTTTTATAAAACCTTAAAATGCACATGCATACTAAAATAAATATAACGTTCCTACTTGGCAGTCTTTCACCTTCATGTGGGTGTGTGGAACGTAACTCCCGCGATAATCGAGGGACTACTGTATTCTGAATTTACTTTTTTCTATATACTTTTATGATGTTAGGGTCGAACTATCAAGCTCTTTCACAGAAATTTATTTGGGGCATAACATAACAAACTGGAATTATTGAGAAAAACACTTAAGTAGTCCTAAGTCAGCAGCAGTATTTTATTTTTTAAGGTCCAGAGTCGTGTGGTTGGGGCAATATTTGAGGCAGTTCCCCTCTGACTGCTGTTTTTCATTTTAACATCATTATTGACGTTGAAATACAAAGAAAATCAAATTTGAGAGAAACTATTTTGCACATAGACATTTAGACCAGTAACTGCATACCAGTGGGGCTCCATTAAAAGCTGGTCAGAACTGAGCTCGGAGATGGGTCATTTGTCCATATTTTAAAAAGTGGATGGTGGGCAGGTAGGTAGTTTTCAATTCCACTTTAGTGCAAAGGAGGGTTACCAACTTTAAGTGGACATCCAACATTTTATCTGTGCTGCTGATTTCTTACCCATAAGCTGCTGTATTCATAACCATTTGCTCATGTTCAGGCTGCTGTTTTATATACCTTATTATATTATGTTATTATGGTTTAGCATATATCTTAGATCCTTGTATACTGTTTCTTCTTATACTTTATGTTTTTGCCATTTTTGGGTGTATATGGGACACAATTTCATTCCACCTCATGTACCACATGTAATGTGAAATAAAGAATAAAGTCTCCTTGAACCGTAACAAAAATCAAAATTTAAATTATAGTTCACGTTTTGGAGAATTTTCCTTGAATTTTGGAATTCGCACGATGTTCATTCAGGAGGGTAGAATAACTCCCAGCACAGTTTCTCTCATGATATCATAGTCAAAATAATAATAAAAAAAAAAAAAATAGACATTTATTAACAATTCACACCGACGAGCCATATGCTGTCCCTTCTGTTCAGCTTCAAGTCCTACCTCTGGGCATGATGGGGTCGTTGACACAGCACAACACAAAATCTGGGCTTCGACACTTCGTCAAACGGACAATAAAACGGTTAATTTGACACGTCAGGCTTTAAATCCCACATTACTGCTAATATTTAACTTTTTGTTTGTCACACATGCCTGAGTCAACAAATATTTCACGGAAACAAACGGTAAAGATTTACCCATAAAGTCGACCAAATTGTTTAGCACATTTAATTGTTTTGTGAACACTTTCAGGTTTACTCACCACAGCTGCCAGCACGGTGGAAAATGCCCACGAAGTAAAACGGCACATTTGAAACACAAAGTGATCTGTGACAGAATTTCTTCTAGATATTTGTAACAGAGATTATTATTTTTTTTTTTAATACAAAGAAACGAAATGCTGATATTTTAGAGCTGCCGTATAGTTCCTTCATATGTTTTCCGGTACTTTTTCTTTGATAATCTTCGTTTCAAAGAGGAAATGGGGGGGCTTCACAAAATTAAAATGTTTTCTCACACACATCAATAAAATCTTTTTTTTTTTTAGTATATCAAGTACATCTAGAAACACTGGTCATAGCTCGTGATTTGTCAACATGATCGTCACGGTTGTCATCACGATCATTACAATCCTCCCTCGTGATTGGCCCTTCTTGGCTCCGGTTGTTCACAAGTTGTTGTATTTCAAAGTGTAAACATTTAGATTGCTGTTTCTTCACGTCCTCGTTTTCTGTCTGCGCCTTTAGCCTCAACACTTCTTGATCTCGTTGATCGTATCGAGTCTCGACACGGTTCTCAACCGTTACACCTCCGAACTGTAGGTATACTCTTACCGTTGCCGTTTGTTGTTTTTTTTTTACAATTGCACGATAACAATATCAACACGTGACACCGTTGAAGAGTTAAAAAAAAAAAAGTAGTGGGAGGTGTAGATTACAGGAGAAGGATTAGCTCAGATAAAAAGACGGTTCGTGACTACAGAGTTTTTTTTATCACAACTTTAAGACTTTTTCTACGGGGCACATGAAGGCAGGGAGGGGGTTCGGACAGAAAGAGTTTACGTCTGATGAGGGACTATTGTTGCACAGTGTATCCTTGAAGATGATCTTGTCTGTAAGTTTGGTGCAGAGTCCCCAGAGGGCTCCCAAACACGACCAGCTTGAGTATTTAAGGGGAAACAAGGCGATAAAGTTTGAAGTCAGACAGCGTTAAGAGTTCAAAGGTTCTGAGAGGAGGGTTCAGGGTCCTTTAAAAACCAAGTCTTGGTGAAGACAGGGGGAGTGGGTGAGGAAAACCTCTCTGTGGCGCTCTTCGTCTCCATCGTATCCAAGAAAAACCTTCTCGTCTTTCCGGTTCTGTTTGATTTTTCCTTCAGAGCCTGGACGATGGCGTTTGTCTGGAACAACTTTAGCCTTGTATTAACCGTTAGACCATCATGTAAACCGCACCAGTCCTCGGTTCAGTTTATTTTTTAGATTAATAAGCTCACAGCATTTAAGCCCAGAGGTTTCCCATACATGGAGACAAGGAGGGTCTTCAAGGGTAAAAGAGCTGTGATTTTAAATAAGAATAAAAAGTCTCGACATCGTTTGGGAGTTTCGGCCTCTTGTCAGGATGGACGGTCTTTTTTTTAAGGAAGGGGTGTGATGTAAAGACGTAAAATCCATTTTAAGAGTTGCTTTTCCCATTATAAAACAAGCCAAGCTCTATTCCACATCTATCCTGCCCTACACCCCTTCATTTTGGCAGTGGGTCTCCCCCTGGCTCCTCCCCATTTAAAACCCTGGTAAATGACAGTAAGCCTCCAGTGAAGCCAGCAGGATGTAAATCAGCCACAGCGAGACAAACATCATCGACGTTATTATCTTGCAAGTCCGTGGCCCACCCAGCTCACCTCCCGCCACCGTCGGCCGCCGCCGGTACAGCAGCGTGAGCACGCACACTACGGCCATGATGGTGAAGAGGGTGACAGAGAAGGCCAGGCTTCCTGGGTCCACCCTAAAAGGCTCTCCCTTGGAGCGCCAGGCGACGGCAGCGATGGTCCACGCCACACCGATGCCCAGGAAGACGTTGACGGCGTTGGAGCCGGTGACATTGCCGATGGAGGCGTCTGCATATTGATCCTGGATGGCTGCAACCTTGCTGGCGAACGTGTCTGGTGAGACAAAAGTAATAAGAAGTATTTATTATTGATTTGATCAGGAGGAAAGCAGAGTTTCCCCTACTGTTGTCCAAAGAGGGCGCCCCGCCTACTGAAATGTCCTTCACCCACAACTCCTCACCCCACCCCCATCAACAACTGCCGGCACTGACATAGCACTACGCTAGCAGCACATAATACAGACGTAGCGCTCCTCTTCTCTCACGCATACCCCCCACCCCCAACGTACAGGCACACAACACAGACATCCAGCAACAATATTCAGTCAGATAATACACCCTCCCGGACATGAGCACCCTGTCAAGGCAATTGATCTAGGGGAAACACTGAAAGGCACTGACGAAATCCTAAATGTATAGACTAAACAAAATTAAGCAAAACAACAATACACTGCTCAGCACATTATACGTCCGTCAACACACTATTATATAGCAATACGCCAATCTATAGCGGTCACACCTGGACAACCTTGTATAACCTTTGACGTTGATTTGTGACCTTGGCATTAGAGCTGGGGTGATGAAAAGTGCACGTGACACTAGGCCTGTCACAATAACAAATTTTGCTGTGTGATTTTTTCAGAAATTATTGCGATAAACAATAATATTGTTTGAAATTTAACAATAATCACTGGAAGTTGTCTAATTTTACAAGAAATATTGATTTGTTTGGTGTGTAGTACCTTTGTTGACCACCTGATGGCAGTATAAGACTGTTTGAACCAAAGGATGGATAACCAACCAAGTCCATGCTCAATAATCCAGGTATACAATCCAACAATTTTCAGTCAGGTCATAGGGACCGTTTCTTTTTTTTTTTTCTTTTTTTTGCTGAAACAGTTTTTTTGGTTTTGAACCAGTTTGACATGACTGTCGACAAGGAAGAGGGCTGGCACCGGAGGAGGGGGTGTGCCATCTTAGCACCAACATAACTGGTTTGTTCCAATTTGGAGTAAGCTGTTGGGAGAAGAATCAGTTTTGTGTTGTGTGTTTCCTTAACTGATGAAGACTTCTGGATGTAAGGTGAAATGTTTCAGCACAAAAAAAGAAACTGTCCAGATGACCTGACTGAAAAATGTTGCAAAGGATGGATAGTTGAGCAGCGTGTCTCTTTAAGAAAAATGGGAGGGAGTGCCCTTGACGTGACATGGGCTGACATGGTGACATGGCAGACGCTCAGTGGTTTGAGCCCTTTAGCATAGCATTTTTCATGCAAAGCTTTTAATAAAAATCAGTAAACAAGTTCTCAGCTTCTTTTTGCAGAGAAAAACAACTTTAAAGAGAAAGAGAGGGGTCAGTGAAGAGCACCGGAGTTGAGCTTTTTGTCATCCAGTGTCTTCAGTAGAAAGAGAGAGAGACGAAGAAACGATAAAGCCGATAAATGAAAATAAGGTCAATAATTTTCATTCATCATGCGATTAATTGATTTATCGTTTATCGCGAACGGCCTATGTGACTATCTAGTGATGATGCATATTTTCATGAAGCTTCGTTAAGTGATCTTGAGTGGATCAGAAGTTATGGGCGGGTCAAGAGAAAGTTGACTGACGTACCAAGACTATACTTTACTATGTCTGCCTTTCGACGAGAGCAAAATGACGTCATCAAAGGAAACCTACAATAAGATAAACTAACATTTTCACATTACTTGATTATTTACAGAGATGGCTATTTCTGGTCACAAAAAGCAGCAGCTGTAACTCTTCCGGTTCTTCTTTTTAGCTACTTTCATCATCAATCCTTTAGCCTAGTGCCATGAGGGCAGTACAAACATTCACCAGCAACCTCCACGTTGGCATAAGAGCAGCATAGAAACAAGGCAAGGGAACCCTGTCCAGGTAAGTTTGTCCTCTGCCCACTGATGAGGGGGACGACCCCCTTAACGGGTTCTTTCAGCGTTTCCTTTGAGCATCACGTTTGAGAATTCCCTCGGTCCTCTCCATGTAGGAAAACCACTTCAATCGGCGTTGAAGGAGACGTGATCTCCAATGAGGACATGGACTCAGCATTTGTAGTGTGGGAGGACAAGTGAGTCCTACCCGTGCTTCACTGTTGGTATTATTATTTTTACATAGCTCCGGTAGTTAAAAAAAAAAAAAGATCTCAATAAACCACCCGTGGCTCTGATCTGTAACTGCTCTGTTGTCGCCTGAATGGGAAAAATTACAGTAAATGGACCTGATAATGTGTCTCCGGTGTAACGCTTCTATAACTTCTGAGGATGGGGAGAGAAAAACAGGAGAAGGCAAAGATTCAAAGAAGAGACTTGAAGAAGAAAAACATGTTCTTTAACAAGAAGAATAGTCACAGTCTCCCAGCAGAAGTTAAATCACCTTTTTCAACACCTGAGTTCTACAGCACACGGGTCAGAATGATAGATGAACCAATACCAAATACACAGCATCCAATAAAAGAGAGGGGACGAAGAGAGGAGTGAGGAAACCTCTTGTCAGAACCATACATTTACCCAGATGGGCCAGAGTGCACAGAACAGGAAGAAGAGAGGGCATAACAACCAGAATAAAGGAAAAAGACAAAGTAGCACCAAACACGTGATCAAAACCAGAGTCCAAAACCCGACTGCAGAAGGCAGCGATTCAAGACTTCCCAGAAAGCCGTCGAAGTTGTCACCTGGAAGAGTTGGAGCTCCTTCTATAAATCACGCAGCGCAACAATAAACTGGCTGGCGAGAGCAACGAGGTGGGAATTAAATTAAAGCCTCGGGACGACGCGTTCCCTCCGAGCGGAGACGGGCTCAGGCTGATTTGACAACATAAATCTGATTTTTAGCCTGCCTATAGGGGCAGCTGGCACTAAAATCAGACAGAAGATGATCACTCATCCTTTCGTGCGTTTATTCACTTGTTTGTCACTTTTAAACCTCGGGAAAAATATACAGTTTAGTGTAAACTGAATGAAAACGTGTTACATACTTAGATAATGGATGGATGGCTGCATCTCAATACATGACCAAAACTTTACCTTGATTTTTCTTAAATAAAATACTAGAGACGATATACTGAGAAAGCCTCACCTGGCACCGATGTCCCCAGTGCCACAAACACCACAGCCGTCACAGAGTCCTTCAGGCCTATCGTGCAGCCGAAGTGCGATGCTAGGTCGCCGGTGACGGCAGTCAGGACGCCGATCAGCGATATGGACACGATGAAGCAGGCCCAGCCGTTCCAGTACTCCGTGGGGGGAACAAACGCGAACAGGACCTTCCAGAAGACGGTGAGGAAGTGCATTATGTAGTCGAAGCAGGAAGGCAGCCGCTCTTCGCCGCTCTCTTCGTCGTCGTCATCGCCTTCAGGACGGTGGAAAGGCGAAGGTGGAGAAACGTGAAATGAATTAGCCTAGAGTCCAAGTTTAAGCTGTAAAATTTAATCTTTAAATTGAAGAAAGATCTTAACTGTAACAACTAAAGTTTTACAAGCTGAATGGCGCTGTTGACTCTTAAACAAGAGCTGAAACTAGTCTAGCTTAGTTTAACAAAAGCTAAGCTAAAGTAAGCAAACCTACTGTATATTATGTTATACATAAAAAATAATACATTTCTCTCTCTGCATTCAAACACTGTAGCAACATGTTCAATAACTGCGACTGGATAGAGATATTTGTACACAACTAATTAAAAAACACTGACAGAAGTCCAATAAACGCAGTTATCATGTGCAACGTGGCTAGTTACCGTAGGATTAGGATCAATTATAATAATTTAACTTAGTTAGCACTTACCTTTAGATTAAGTTAAGCTCAAATAAGCTAGGTTAGCTTATGCTAACAGACATGCTATTTGGCTAAGTTAAATAAAACTTTTTATATTAACTTCATTTACAAGTTGGTGACTAAATTAAAATACACTATCTTAGTTTAATATATACCTGTAGGTTAGGTTAAGCTAAAATAATCTACTTTAACTTATATTAACAAACATGCTAGTTGGTTAAGCTACATTAAACTTTTTATCTTGAGCTCATCTACAAGCAGGTGGCTAAATTAGGATAAAGTGGCTTAACTTTCTCCAGTTTTGGGCTCCCTTCGCTGGCTCCCTGTTCACTTACGAATTAATTTTATGTACGTTTTTAAATCTCTAAACAATTCTGCCTCTTCTATCTCGCTGATCTGCTGCAGCCATATGTCCCACAGCGCTCTCTGAGGTCAGCAGACCAGCTTCTTTTATTAGTTCTTTATAAATAAAGTGGTATGGTAGGGTAACTTACCTTAGTTTATCACCAACTGTACATTAAGTTGAGCTAAAATGAGATGGTTCAGCTTACATTAACAACTAGTGCTAATTGTATAAGCTAACTAAACTATAACTGTTGTACCATAAAATTATCTACACGTAGGTGGCTAAATTAGGAGAAACTAGCTAATTTGAGTACAGTTTAGCACATAAATACATAGAAACAATGGATTTTCTTCATGTCATTAAAATAAAATGGACCTTTTTACAAATATTAATGTGCATGTTTAGTGTCAGTATTTTGCAATGCATTGTGGTCTACATATATTCATGACTACTTCTGGTTCTTTGACCTCCAATTTACTTTAATCTGTCATTTGTGTATATTTGTTACGATCACCGACTATCGCCTCTTTTTCAGACAAAATATTATTAGAACTAATTCTCACGTTTGGTGTTTCATCTTTGCATTCTCTGTTATCAGTTGGTATTCTACAAATATATTTTACCGTAGCTAGCAGAAGTAGCTATGATTGTATTTGGGAAGATGGTCCTGACTACACATGTGCATAAATACAATTTTATATTGTGCGTTCTTATTTAGTTTTGTTAGAGCTGTATGATTCATAAAACCACGTCAAAGCCCAAGACCGGCCCGGCCCCCACATTAAGCACATTATTATGGACCGGCCTGGCCCGGCCCCCACATTAAGCACATTATTATGGACCGGCCCGGTCGTGACAATGCAGAGCGTTAACATCATATCCGGAAGATGTCCGTAAATTTCAGCTACATCTCAGGCTTTGGTTATCCCGTGTGAATACGCCACATAAAAAGCAGACGTTGGGGAGTAATTTATTTATTACATGTGGTCCCTAGGTAAAACTAATCCCGTGCACATAGAGCTTAAGTCATGACCTTCATACATAACAACAGGCACTAATTTCTTGTTTATCCCTTCCTCTCTATGGGGAAAAACAAAAAGTGTTTTTTTAAACTTTTTTTTTTTTTTTTTTCAAAATGCAGTGCAGGAATTTTCGAGGGCTTGGCGTTCTCTCCAATCTGTCACCAGCTCATTTTCACCCAGCAGGGGGCTCGGTTTGTTAAGACCCAAGTGACGAAACGTTTAATGCCAACCTAAAGTCTTGTTTCAAACCAGTTTGTTTTGTGTGTGAGTTACCTGCACTGACAGTAACGGCGTTGACAAACTGCTCCCTCCAGCTGCTGCTTCCCACCACCAGGGCCAGGTTTGTCTTCTTGATCAACTTATCCACTGTACTCTACACACACACACACATGCGTCCAAGCAAGCATGGCAGTGCACACACATCGAGCAGAGCAGGGAAGACACAACCTCAAGTTGTTGACTCGCATACAGCCACACAGAAACAGAAAATGCTGATTTCAAGGCCCTAAATGAAGACCCTGGTTGCAGAGCTATATTTAAACACAGAGAATTTGAGGTTCTGGATGTGTTAATTAACAATGCTGTGAAAATGGACTGCATGCATGTTTTACTGACGCTGTCCCACAAAAATGGAGGAAAAAAGAAGCACCTTGTATTAATTTTCTGCATAAAACAGTTATAGCATCACACCAGCATCTTTATCTAAATTCTAGTTTATAGCAGCATTGATAAGAAGTCACCAATTAATCTCAATGTGTGTGTGTTTTTGTCTATGAAGGCAGTTAAAGCTAAAAAAACTTATATTGTGCAGAAACGGTGAAGAAGTAGATGCTTGTGTCAGATGGATACCTTTTGAGTCTTTCTAAGAAGAACATCTACTGCTTTCTGCACACGTACAAACACACCACACAACAAAAAATGGACAAATGAGCATGAGATGAGTAAACAAACAAACACGATGGTTACATTAAAAAACTAAAAGTACATTTAAAAATGAAGCAACACAGTAACAATGACACAATGACAATGCACAAATTAAAGAAGACCCTAAAATATCCCAAGAAATTTTTAATTACCTTTGAATTAATTACCTGTTGATCCATGGCTAAACTGATTACATCTAGAAAGACTTTTCTACAGATATAAAACATCTGCAGGGTTTTACTATATCAATCAGCTGCTGGTTTTTTTTTTCCTCTAAAGTTTTTTTTTTTTGCAGAAATAGACAAAAGCTTGTAAAAAAAAAACAAAAAAAAAAAACAACTCTCGTGTCTTATCAAAGTTTGATGTTGAAGTAATAGTCCTGATCTTTTGAAGTGAGGTTTTGGGGAGAGATTAGAAGCTAATAATACCTTATTTGTTGTAGGAAGCTATTTGAACAAACTCATTCTGATGAGCTAACAGCTACGACGAGCACGGCCGAGACCGAAGTGGATTAATGAGGTGTTACAGGAACAGTTTAGTCATTTGTGAGCAGATGTTGTGTCAGTTATAAATAGTTTGTACCTTATCAGCTGTGACATCAGTCGAAGAGCACAAGATAAAACGCATACATGCTAGGCTAACTTCTAATCAAACTAGTTCCTGATTTTCATCCAGGCTAGGTTAATGGCCTAACAAACAAGTGCCTGATCTTCATGTAAACTAGGCTAATGACTAACTGAGTGTCTGATCTTAATCTAGGCTAATGGCTATCCAAACAGTGCCTAATCTTCATCTAGGCTAAGCTAATGGCTAGGCAAACAGAGCCTAATCTTCATCTAGGCTAAACTAATGGCTATCCAAACAGAGCCTAATCTTCATCTAGGCTAAGCTAATGGCTATCCAAACAGAGCCTAATCTTCATCTAGGCTAAGCTAATGGCTAGACAAACAGAGCCTAATCTTCATCTAGGCTAAGCTAATGGCTAGACAAAGAGCCTAATCTTCATCTAGGCTAAGCTAATGGCTAGGCAAACAGAGCCTAATCTTCATCTAAGCTAAGATAATGGCTAGCCAAACAGTGCTTAATCTTCATCTAGGCTAAGCTAATGGCTAGCCAAACAGTCCCTAATCTTCATCTAGGCTAAGCTAATAGCTAGCCAAACAGAGCCTAATCTTCATCTAGGCTAAAATAATGGCTAGTCAAACAGAGCTTAATCTTCATCTAGGCTAAGCTAATAGCTAGCCAAACAGAGCCTAAT